GTGTTAAGCCGGTCGGCGTGGTAGCCAAGGCTCACATAGTCATAGGCCACCAGTGTTAAGCCGGTCGGCGTGGTAGCCAAGGCTCACATAGTCATAGACTACCAGTGTTAAGCCGGTCGGCGTGGTAGCCAAGGCTCACATAGTCATAGGCCACTAGCGTTAAGCCGGTCGGCATGGTAGCTAGGGTTGGGTATAGTTGGTTTTTTTTTTTTTATACCGGCGCCAAATCGATACTTTTAAAGCGGTTCTGGTGCTTGAACCAATACTTATGAAAAAAACAAATAAATAAAAATTCCCCCAAAAATGAGGGATTGACCATTAGCACTATAAACGCATTGTCTGTTTCACTCATACTGGACGCCAGAGGGCGCCCTCGCACAGAAAATCCACATATCCAGACACAGAAGTAGTGGAACTCATGACCCTCCAGGAAATCCCTAATATGGACAAAGGCATTGCTATTATAGCTGTAACTGAATAAACAGAACAGGTTACATATGTATCGGTGCCATATTGGTACCGGGTTTCGGTACCCAACCCTAGTGGTAGCCCAGGCACACATAGATAGTAATGCATGCGGTTCACATGGCTCTTCGGAGCAGCAGCCATTATCACATGGCACAGCTGATTGGTTCTCTTCTGTATCGATAGCCAATGAGCTGGCTTCTCAACATTCAAATATATGATTAGTGCTTGCAGTAGCAGTTGCAGCTTGCTTCAGAAACCCTCCACCTTCCCCAGCTCCACCTGTATAGATCTGCTACGCGGGAATTTCAAGTATGTTATATAAGGGAGTTATGTCATATGTTGCATATGCAGCAGCAGTATTTTTACATGCACACAGCAGCATGTATGTGGAAGAATTGACAGTCAGAGGGCGCCCTCGCACAGAAAATCCACATATCCAGACACAGAAGTAGTGGAACTCATGACCCTCCAGGAAATCCCTAATATGGACAAAGGCATTGCTATTATAGCTGTAACTGAATAAACAGAACATATACACGTTTTGAATGATAAAACAAAGACAATAAACACTCGACTGCGACAATATAGGTTATCTGTGTTATTCAAGCCATCTCTGGTATTTTCATAATAATTAAGTATATTTATAATCCATTGCTAATCGATGTATTC